TTGGTATTATTTTCTCCTGCTAACCTGTCTTGTTAATTATTTGGCCAGCCATAAGAACCTTAAGGAAAAGGGCAGAGGGAGATTCTCCCTCTTCCCCCACAAAGGTCATGCTTAGAGAGCTCTTCTCCTCCCCAAGATTATGAAACAGTTGAGCTACGTTTTTTTTTTAAGTTTTTGCATTATGACATTTAATCCATCTAGAATTTATTTTAGAATAAAGATTGAGATAAGAATTTAAGTTTTATTTTCCTGAATGCTTTGGCAATAGACCCGAAATCATTTTCTGGCTAATTCATTCTTTTCCCACTTATTTGAGATGTCAAAACTTTATCATATTGCAAAATCTTACTTTTTTTTTTTTAGTTTGTTTTTGGATTTTCCTGTTTTTTCCATAGAGCCATCTGTCAATTCCTACATCAATACCAGTCTGTTATATTCATTATTGTTTTATGCTTTAACAACAAGCAGGGCTAGCTTCTAGGTGCCACCTGCTATCATAATAAAATAGCATTTGAAGAAATAAATGCCAAAATAAAAATTGTTTTTTCAAATAATAGCAATCAATCTTATGTATTCCTAATATGGAAAGACACTAAATCTAGCAAATAGTGTAGACGAACACAGAAAACAAAGTCTAAGATTTCATAACATGTTATTTAAAATCCTATTTAAGTTGGAAGATATGTCAGAAACTCACTTTGAGCCACACGTGTCATTCAAAAGTGAATTCCTGACATATATGACTAAAATAACTCAATAGAACACCTGTCAAAAAAATTTAAGGCTTCAGAACATAGACCTCACTTAGAGTGCCCCCTAACCAGTGCATATAAATAATCATTAAGTGTGCTTTGTGCTGTTTCATTAGAGTCACTGACCACAAAGGTATGTCAGAGGCATAATGCATTCAACCTCTCACACCTCTCAAAATCTTCACTCTTCTTGCCAGATAATCTTTAGTTGTACACATAAGTAGAATTAGAGTGACATCTAATGGTCACAAAACATGTCACAAAGCATTTCTTTACAACAGAACTACATGCATATTCCAGGTTGCGAGGCCAAATCGGGCAATTTTTCAACAGCACACACTAGGCTCCTATTTGAAATTCCATGACCTGGTCAGCCCTGAGTGATCTAGATGACTATCAGAAACCACGCTACATGTTGTACAAACAATATCTCACTTCATTATTCCACATTAGTTCTACCAGGTCTGTTTCTCTCAAACCATCAGTTCAAATGATGCTGATAAGAGTAAGTAGGTTATTAAGTGAGTAATAACCTGTCAATCACTTAAAATAACCCTCAGCAGTATTCTGAGCGTACCTTCTGAGAAGAACTATTTGCATTCTAAGCATTTGGAGAGCAGATATCTACTGCCCTCAGTCAAATGATCTGAATGTACATCATTCTCGTCCTCATCCTGTGAATAATTATCAGGAGGTGTAAAGAGCACCAAGGGTAGCATTTACTCTGCAGTGAGTTATCCAAATATAATCAGCCAGGCGTCCCCACACAGGCCAGGAAAGTGAGAGCCCCCTCCAGCACCACACGGCACTCTTTCTCACCGATTCCAGCTGCTTGCAGAGTGCTGTCTTCTTTCAACAGGAGTCTGTCGTCATCTTCCAAACTCAACACAAGTTCATTTGTCTAGAAAGAAAGAAAATCTGCAGTTTATCAGTTGTTACATGTCTGTCATATTTGGTAGGATTTCTCAAAGACATAGAATTGTTACTTTGGGTCATAGCAATAAGCTAAGTCACATTCTACTCCCATTACTGTAAGGAGAAAAGTGGACACATGGTAGGTACCTACTGAGTGGACACAGTATGCAAAGCACTGGGGAGACAGTGCTACAGCTCAGAGCTTTGGAGCTTGATCTGGGTGAAAATCCAGTCTCCTCCAATGCCCAGCTGTGTGTTCTCAACAAACTACACAGTCTCTTAGACTCAGTTTCATCATCTGTAAAAAACATGAAAAGAATGCATCTTCTCTGTTGCCTTGTGGTGAGGATGACGTTAGATGAAGCATATAAAACCCTCAGAGCAGTGTCAGATGCATAGCAAGCGTTCTCCACGTTAGCTGTTACTGTTCTATTGTTGTTGTCATTGTCGTCGTCGTCGTTGTCATCATCATCATCATCTCATCCTCACAATATTCCAGGGGGAATCGGAGATGTTAAGATACAGGCCTAGAGTACATGGCTGGTTAGCCATGGAACTGAGGTCCAAGCCCTGACCAGTGTGACTTCTGAGAGGAGCAAGTTTGCATCAATGGCTAAAAGTCCAAGTATCTAAAAACCTTGCCCTAGCTCAGTACGCTCTTCGACATCGGTCTTAGCAACATCTTTTCTAACACCACATCTGACCGGGCAAGAGAAACAATAGAAAAAATAAACAAATGGGACTACATCAAACTAAAAAGCTTCTGCACAGCAAAGGAAACCATCAACAAAACGAAAAGACAACCTAACAATTGGGAGAAGATATTTGCAAACCATACATCTGATAAGGGCTTAACCTCCAAAATATATAAAGAACTCATGCATCTCAACAACAAAAAAACTACCAACCCAATTAAAAAATGGGCAAAAGACCTGAACAGACATTTCTCCAAAGAAGATATACAGATGGCCAACAGACACATGAAAAGATGTTCAAAATCACTAACTATCAGGGAAATGCAAATCAAAACTACAATGAGATATCACCTCACGCCTGTCAGAATGGCTATAATTAACAAGACAGGAAACAACATGTGTTGGAGAGGATGTGGAGAGAAGGGAACTCTCATACACTGCTGGTGGGAGTGCAAACTGGTGCAGCCACTATGGAAAACAGTATGGAGATTCCTCAAAAAATCAAGGATAGAACTACCATATGATCCAGCTATTCCACTGTTGGGTATTTATCCAAAGAACTTGAAAACACCAATTTGCAAAGGTACATGCACCCCTGTGTTCATTGCAGCCTTATTCACAATAGCCAAGACTTGGAAGCAACCTAAGTGCCCATCAAGGGACGAATGGATAAAGAAGCTGTGGTATATATACACAATGGAATACTACTCAGCCATAAGAAACGACGAAATCCAGCCATTTGTGACAACATGGATGGACATTGAGGGTATAATGCAAAGTGAAATAAGTCAGAGGGAGAAGGCCAAATACCGTATGATTTCCTTCATTAAGTAGTAGATAATAACAACAATAAACAAACACATAGGGACAGAGATTGGATTGGTGGTTACCAGAGGGGAAGGGGGGAGGGTGGAGGGTGAAAGGGATAATTCGGTACATGTGTGTGGTGATGGGTTGTAATTAGTATTTTGGTGGTGAACATGATGTAGTCCATGCAGAAATAGAAGTACAATGATGTACACCTGAAATTTTTGCAATGTTATAAACCAATGTTACTGCAATAAAAAAAAACCTTGCCCTAGCTAATAAACACTTGATCCCATGTCATATGAACTGTAACATTTCTCTACGTGATTTGGGGCCGGGGGTGGATGAGTTTCTTCTCCAATGATATTTACAAATCCAGTTAAACATTATAAATATAGGAGAAAACTTTGAGATGATATCTGCCCCTAAATAGCACAGGGAGGTGACTACTAGTTGGGTACACAGTACCACTTGTCAACCAGAATGCAGCTGTTTAGCAACGCATTCTACTTCTATAATATGGCTGAGAGGAAGAGACAACAGACAGGCCTCTCAGCAGCCAAAACAGCCCAGAAGCCATGCTCCATGGTTCACAACTTCACTTCCTAGAGAGCACAGGGGCTTGACCTCCAGAGCACACAGATTAAAAGGGAAATAACTTTATTTAAAAAACTCATTTTAGGGGCCAGCGCAGTGGCACAAGCGGTTAAGTGCGTGCACTCCGCTGCAGCGTCCCGGGGTTCCCCAGTTTCGATTTCTGGCGTGCACCGACGCACTGCTTGGCAAGCCATGTTGTGGTGGCGTCCCATGTAAAGTGGAGGAAGATGGGCATGGATGTTAGCCCAGGGCCAGTCTTCCTCAGCAAAAAAAGAGGAGGATTGGCAGATGTCAGCACAGGGCTGATCCTCCTCACACAAAAAAAAAAAAAAACCTCATTTTAGAATAGGTAATACATACTCATCATACAAAATTCTCCAAGTACATATGGACAGAGAGTGAAAAGTCTCCTCCCAATCGCTATCCACCAGCTACCTAGTTCTCCTGCAGAGAACTTGTATTAATTCTTGTATATCCTCTCAAAGATTGTCTCTGTACTTGTACACGCAGGCAGAGATGTGCATGTAAACTTTTTCACACAAATAATAGCATATCATATGCTGTGTTCTAACACCTTACTTTTTTTCTCTTAAAATATAGCTTAAAATCATTCAAAATTAGTAAAAGAGCTGCCTCATAATTTATCAAGGCTGCAGCGTATTCCATTGAAGGGATACAAACATACACACACACCCCTAGTCCCTACTGATCGCCATTTAAGTTGTTTCCAATCTCTTGCTACCATAAACAATTCTGCAACCAATATCCTTGTACATATATCATTTTACATATATACAAGTTTTATCTGTAAGATAAATTCCTAGAAGTAGAACTGTTGGGTCAGAGAGTACACGCAATTTGTATTTTGACAGATATTGTCAAATTACTCTCCAGAGAAGTGGTGCCAGTTTACACTAATGCTACCAATTGCTGAGAGTACCTGTTTCCCACACCCTCACTGACACAGTGTATTATCAAAAGCTTCTGATCTTTGATCAGATCTAACAGATGTAAATTAAGTGTAGTCTTAAGTTGTATTTAGTTTATTGTGTGTAAAGTTGTGAATATCTTGTTTTGTAATGGTCTTGGAGGTTAACTTTTTACATGGAATTGTAGAATACTGTTATATACTAATAAAATTAGGCCTTTTCTGTAATATAAGTTAGAAAATTTTCCCCCAGTTTTCATTTGTTCCTTGATTTTTCTTATAGCGTTTTTTTAATAGAAGGTACTGAACGTTTGTTGAATAAATTAACGAAGTAAAATGTATCAATCTTTTATGGTTTCTGGGTTTTCTATAAAACTTAGAAAGACCTTTACTCTACGATTACTTTTAAAATTCCATACTTTCTTCAAATATTTTTATTAATTTCAATTTTTAAACTTTGAATTATGGAGAATCTCAAACATACAATGTATACAGAATAGTATGATGAACCCTCCACATAACCATCACCCGGCCTGAACAAACTATCCACTCATGTTCAATCTGTTTCATCTCTATCCTCAGCTGTGGGTTTCATTTTCACATTTAAGTCATTAATCCAAGGGGTACTTATTTTGGCATAAAGAAAAGGATATGGATTCAACTTAACTGTTTTCTAGATGTCTACCATCTAGAAAATACCCAATTTATTGGTATTTTCCCAAAACCCCAATGCCCCAATATCATTTATTGAATCCTCCATATTTTCTCCACAGATTTGAAATACCACACTTACTATACACTAAATTCCCATATATATGGGTCTATTTTTGGACTTTTAATTCTGTGCCACTGAACTAACAGTTCACGTGATGGTACCATACTGTTTTGATTACTACAGTTTTATAATATGTCTAATATATGCTAGGGCTAGTCATTCTTCTTCTCTTCTTTTTCCTGACCACTCTTCATTATTTATTTTGCATATTAGTTTTACAACCAACTTCTTTAGTTTATATTTTTATATATATATGCACACAACTGTTGTTATTTTTTTATTGGGGTGGCATTAAATTTGCAAATTAACTAAAAGAGAACTGACATCTTCATGCTGCTGCATTTTCCCATCCAAAATACCCTAAGCATTTCCATTTAAGTCCTATTTTGGATCTCTCTTCATGTTTTATTTTTTGTTAAACTGAGGTAGAATTTCACATAAATAAAATGCACACATCTTAAGAGCAGTTCAGGTCAATGAGTCTGGAGAACTGAATACCTTGACTAGCATTTCAAAGCTTTCTTTTTAAAGATCTTGCACATTTCTTATAAGGTTATTCCAGGGTATGACTTCTTCCTTTCATAAACTTTTAACAAGTGTAACTATCTGGTTTCCAAACTCAAAAAATATAAGATAGAAATTAGGGTTTTTATTTCGAATCTTTCTGACTTTACAAATAGCCTACTGATTATAATCCATAATATATGCACAAATATATTTTCTTGATAACCATAAATCATATTACGGTAATTATTTGCACTATACTATTGATTCGTTCATTCAACAAACACTTGGCTCACAGTCTAAATAGGAGGCTCTGGTGGGAAGCTATCCAGACAGGCTTTTATTGTGTTGATGGGAAGAAATTTCTGTGGATACCTGGTAATTGTAATTAAGAAAATCTCTAAACCTAGAAAATTGGGGAAATGGGGAAAATGCCTTCTGTGAACAAGTTCTTTAAAACACTGGAGTTATTTGGAAGTCTCTTCCTTTGGCTGAGGAAGGAGATTAAAATTACAGCTGGGTTGGAAAACTGACAGGCTAGGCCAGTGATGCTTATAGGCCCTGCAGACAGAGAACAGAAGGCAGATGGGGAAAGGAGAAAAATGTCTGGGAGCTGGATAAGGCACAAATGAGGACATGTCGATGAAGTTTTAAAATTGTATCTGTAAAAATATATTGAC